CACACACACACACACACACACACACACACACACACACACACACACACGTAAATCTGTTAAACTTAAAACTGCAGTCTCTCTCTGAAGTTGTTTTCTCTCCTCTGACCTGGCTTTTCATTATGTTTTTTTCTTGATAAGAATTGCCAGGTAAGAAAGAAAGAAGAATTTGGAAAGATAAATAGAGCAGATATCAAACAAAGTTATTTAGCACAAAAGGAAGATGATCAGGCCACAGGGTTGCTGTTCAGCAGTGTAAAGTGTAGGTGCCCAGCTGTCTCACCCAATGTGCCACACATTCACAGTGCAATATGGTCAATCTGCCCTGTTGAGAACCAGGGGCTTACAGTCCTGTGCTCAGATGCACATTGGCAAACCTCTGGTCTGATACTAAGCTCTTACTGGAGTTAGGACACCCAGAGAGGTGCAAATCTGCACCAGTACAGATCCTGACTGCAGAGTGGGAGATAAGACTGCATGGCATAAGATGTGATGGCAGAAAAAAACTGGAGCTTTTAGAGGGGAAAAAAGACTATCCACAAGACTGAGTCAGAATATCACAGGGCAATGTAAACCTGGTTTTGATAAGACTTCCCCTTTGCTGGAACATCAAAGTCAATAGGTCCCCAAATGATGCAGTTCAGAGAACCAAACACAGGAACCAGAAAATGGCTTTGTTACAGATAATTTTAGTTTTAAATAACTGTAACATTTTATTAACTTTCTAACATCAGAAAATAAGCAGGCTGTTGGACGCATGGAAATACACACACACCATAACTAAATTGACTTATTTGAACTTCCATATCTCATTTTGAAAAAGCAGCAAATGGGTATTTGTATTCTTCTGCTTTGATATGTTAATCCATTATTCAGCAGCATTTGTGTGCACAGCTGCACAGTAGCTTAGTGGGGATTCAGTATAAATTTAGAAATGTTTCCTGCAGACAAAATTCAAAATAATAGAAGTGGGTAGGCTGTACTTGTCTAGAGATATATAGCTATAGCTATAGGTATATAGTTAGTCTATAGCTACAGATACGTAGCTGTATAGATTCAGATACACAGATGTATTTATTTATATAGCAGTTATGCTTGTATATACATACATGAGATGAGAGAGAGAGAGAGAGAGAATATGGGCACAAACTGGAACAGAGGAGGGTTGCTCTGACCATTACAAAACATTTTTTCACTGTGAGGGTGACCAAGCACTGGCACAGGTTGCCCACAGAAGTTGTGAAGTCTCCATCCTTGGAGATATAAAAACCCATCCAGACAGCCTGTTCTAGGTGGCACTGCTTGAGCTGGGAGGTTGGTCCAGACAATCTCAGGAAGTCCCTTCCCACCTCAACCATTGTGTTATTTTCAGCATTCACCACAGTAATAGGATCCCTATTGCCATTGTGTAAAAGTTACGCAGGTTTTAATCAGGTGGTCCTTTCAGCATCCTGTGAGTTAGAATAAGAAGTTGGACTAATTCTTTTTTGTAAAATGCATCAGCATCTTATAGGTGGGAAGTGAAGGCTGAAGGAAAGTTTTCAGGTGGGCCTGTTTAAGAGATGGCATTTGATTCATTGATTTCCTTGGCTTCTTTAGAAATTCCAACTTTTGCATAGACTATGGAGCCTGAGGTTATAAATCATAGGCAACAGAGAAAGAGAAGTGAATTTTGATCTCCAGGTCCCAAGTGAATACTCCGAGCTTCTTCTAGAACTTTTATGTTGCAAAGTAATGCATAAACTTGTAAAATCTCCTCTTAAATGTCATTTCAAAGCAGCTCACTTAAATAAGCGAAAAATTGTAGGAGTAAGGACTCTCGAATGAACATGTAACAAGAGTGTGAACTGGCAGACTTATGCTAGATAGCTTTATATGCCTATATTCTTCCTTGGGCCTTCCCTATTTTTTTTTAAGTCAGCTGTGCTGTTCACTTCCCAGTGTAATGCTGTTTCTGTCAGGTGAGAGAATAAAGCACTGTTGAACTATCAAGCCAAAAAATAATACACTTATATGAAAATACAGTTATGGTATGCTTTTATTAAATTTATGTGATAGGATTATTTTTTCCCGTTTTAATTTCAGTTGATAGTATGAGTCAGCTAGACCTACAACAAGTGAAAAACTGGAAGTTGTATTTGCAAAGAAAAAAATTTTTTTTTCAGTTTTTCTGATTTCAGTAATAGAAATATTCTACTTAACAGTATTATTTTTGTCACATGTTTAATCAATTTTATCTAAACCTGTTTTCAAAATTGTTACAGAAATTTTTCACATGCAGTATTTTAGCTAAAGGCAACATGGAACATAATTCAAGAGTTATACTGAAATTCATTTCCAAGAAATTAAACATTATATTGGGTAGATAAATAGGGAAATAAATAGTAAAGTAGGTCAGTGTTGTAGAGTTGCTTTGGCTTGGACTGTAGACAGATCAAAGTGTACATTAAAAATAGGAAATTAGTTTAGAAGGCAACAGTGAAGCTTAAAAACCCAAATAAAAAATCATCAGCATACCTGATATGTTTTCCAATTCTGGCATGTAAATCCAGGGCCACACTTAGAGCTTTCACTTTCAAATTTCCTTTGGTCTGAGTGGGAGATTACCCAAATACAGAATAGTGTTTTTGAAGAAAGACAATTCTGTCACATATTTAGAGTTTTTGTAAAGTTTCCAGAACTTTAGTGAGAGCGATTCTTGAACAAGGCTAATGTTGAATTCTTATTTTGATAGCAAAAACAGACAGCTCTTTTGGGCCAAAAAAATGGACAGCTTTCTAATTGCTTTTATTTTAGTAAAGCCAAATTTGTGACCTGCATTAACTGCAAATGTAAGACCATTTTCACATGAAATAATATATGTACCTTTGAAGTTAATTAGAAATCTCCCTGCCTTTTAGTACTCATCATCTTGTTTCTTCCATGTGAAGCAACTGTGACTCAAATTACAGTTGAAAGCACATTTTTAAGCGTTCTATTAGGTAATATCTTTGTACCTCTACACTCTTCTCCCCCCCCCTCAGAGACTATGAAGAAGATATTTCAAGAAAAGGGGATCTTGGCAGGAGAAGAAAGAGCTTTTAAACCACATCTGACCTTCATGAAGTTATCAAAATCAATGGAGCTACGTAAGCAGGTGAGCTCACATTTCACGTAGATCAGCAGCAATCTAGAAAGTTTAATTTGGAGATGCACAAAGGTGCTGCTTATGCTGTAGCATCATACTCTCTACTTTGTAACCAGCTGAAGAGGTAAGACTTTAAAAATACTTATTTTATTTAATAAAAATAATGTAGTGCATCTACTATATAAACATTAGTCCTGTACTGTAAGTTACCACTCTTGATATTCTCAGTACATTAATATCACGGTCTGTTTTCTGTTGTGAAATTAGGCAAGACCAAAGGCTAAAAGTACTTGTTAAAAATTACAGAACTCTAATTAGGGTGTAGTTTGTATGCATGCTGTTTGTTTGCAAAGTTTTGTTTCTGTATAGGAGAAAACAAGCAAGTAAACAGTGAAATTTCTATTTGGATTATGCATAATAGGCAGACTGTCAGTTCCCTCTACTGAATATGCTTTGGTGAATTTCAGAGTAGTGAGGAAACCCATCTTCTATATTCTCTCTTGCAGGCAGTTATTTCTTGCCTATTTATTAGCTTTTTTTGGACAAAATACAGAAATACATTAAAGTAGGTTATAACTGTCATAAAAATATATAGAAGTAATACTAGTGGACCTATTTTTTATTGCATACTAATTTAACTGTAATACTGTAATGTATTATCTAACATGAGGTATGTCTCCGTAAATTTTTTTGTTGACATTTTATAGAATATTTTATGTGATCCTTTAACATTGTCTAGGAAAATAATTTTCAGAAAAAATATTTTAAATAGGAATTAAATTACATAATAGTAATATTTTAAGTTGATTTTTTCCTTAATAGTGGGCATTAAAGAAAAATACTTTAAAATTTAATTAGAAATATCTAAAAATGCTGAAGGGGCACATTTTAATTAAGTAGTATTCTGAAATCAGTAGGCAGAAGGCAGTGAGCTTTCAGATACATAAGAAATTTCAAGGGCACACATACTTGCTCTAAAACAGAAGTAAGGACTTATCCACAGGATGCAGGTGGCATATTCTAGATATTAAATTTGTAAGCTCACATAAGCTTTTGCTTGTATTAACAGTTTTTTTAAAAACACTCATTTTAAAAATCCACAGCTCTTCTAGAATATCAGCTGTTCAGTAATTTAACTGTTTGGTTTAAACATCTAAAACAATCAGGGTGGAGTTTTTGCCATTCTGTTTTCTGGTTGTTTTTTGATTGGTTCTTTGTTTCATTTGTATTTATCTACCTTCCATTAAATATTAGCCAGGATGCATACTTTCTGTGTTATGATATTCACTGCTGCTGACAGAACCAGGTCAATGTCATTCCAAACCATCTTCCTTAGCTCTCTATAATGCTAGATAATGCATATGGTATTCTAAAGATATACTGTATAGAAAGATACTATGTATTAAAAATCTGTAAATTTTTCTCTGTCAATTCAGTGTCAGGCATAAGCATTAATCTTTACTATAATTTTTTGTTTCATTGTGTACATGCATTTAGTTAGATAGTTTCATGCCTTTACTGAAAGCAGTAAATACAAATATGAAACATAAAAGGAATGATTATTTTGCAGTACATTTTAATACAATGTCTAGTTGCATTTTGAGATCATACAAGAATATGAAAACCAAGGAAGGGGGAATGAATGAAAATTACATGTGAAAGCATATGAAAGACCAAATAGTAGTAAAGTGGTTCAGTACAGTTCTCAGCTATAGCTTTATAACTATGTTAATTTTTAAATGTAAGTCGCCTTATTTGAAGCAATATTCTTTTAAGTCACCCTCCTCACAATGACATCTAAATTCCACCAAATCTATCTTTTGGGGGAAAAAAAAAATCTTTTTTTTAAACCCTAATATAGCTTCAGCAGTTTGAAATGCGTTTATTCTGAAAAGATTTTAACTTCCCCAGAATTAAAAATATATTTACAAAACAAGGAGTTTGAGAATTCAGAACTAGGAAAAATCTCAAGAAATAAGCTTTTCACTCTGAAGGCACAGCATTAAGCTAAAAATGGTAAATGCAAAAAACTTGGAAACAGGTATTAATAAAGGATAAAAGTGTGAAATAAAGTTCATTAGAAAAGAGCTGTACCCCTCTCAGCTTCTTAGATTAAAGGACTTATCTACCTACTCAGAAGTGGGAGCAACCCATTCTTCATGCTTAGCTAGACATTCCTGAGAGCAGATGCGCCACTGAAAACTTCCCAAAATCAGCATGCTTCTAGCTGTCCTTGTGGAAGGAGATAGAGAGATATAATTTACTTGCACATGTTTAGCTATTTCCAGAATTATTTGAATGATAAGAATCTTGGGTTAGTATCATTATCAGTTCTATGCAAAGAACCTAATGAAACACAATGAAAGAAGTAACTGGAGTTTTGCACTTGAACATAACATTTCTATTTCTGCCTCCCTCACTTGCCTGTTAAGTTGCTGCAGGTCAGTCACAACCTCTCTGTTTTTCATTTGTCCAGACTCCTGTTTATTTCAGGGTGTGCTATGAGGCACACTTCATAAATGCTGTATGATGTTTGGAGGTCCTTTGATATCTAGTGCTGCCAGAACTGCAAATACTGTTAAATAAATTTCATAAGTAGAAGATGACTGACAGCTAAATTGGTCTGTGGCATCTGCTTAATTAGTACAGAGTATATACTTAGCCTAGACAGTGGCTGACAACAAAAAATGCCAAAAATATAATTTATGAATCTTTAGTATGTTATATTATTTTCTATGGTATATTTTTAGAATGCTGTATGTACAGATAGTAAAAGAGAATATATTAGTGAGAAAACACTTGTGAGCATTCTACAAGGCTTGATTCACTGTTACCATTCAACTTGGTAACATCATCGAGATGCTAGATATTATTTTGCAGACAGTATTATTATGATTATCTCCAGTTTCATACAGAGATAACATAAGGTGCTTATTTTGTAGTAGTAATAATAATAGTTTCCTTCATTACCAAGGAGGTAATGAAACAAACACACTGAATGAAACACACTGAAACAAACTCAAAGCAGTGTCTCCAACTTCAAAAATTTTTGATGTGTGCTCACATTCGTCTTTTTGCTATCTTCAGCTAGACATACCTGATAACACATTTAATACTGATAATTATGAAGGGAATTAATTTTTTTCATGTAAATTTTCTCATAGTTTATGTGACATTATTATTTTTGTCTTCTTGAAATCACATATAGCTGTGTGTCTGCTGATGTGTTTATTAGCCATAATATAAGCAGTTAGAGCAAGTTTTGGCAGACAATAAGCTATCTAATGTCTCTTCTGTCTTATTTACATGAGGAATCTCAGGCACTTACCTCGCTGCAGGAAAGGTTATTACTTCAATAGTACTTAGATATGGCTCTTGGGTCATTAATTTGTTAATGTATTTTTCTTGCATATGCATACATTCAATACTGTGTTCAATAAAGATCCTCTGCATGACAAGAGAAGTGAAAGGGAATCCTCCCTTCTGATATTATGCCTCTAACGTTAAGTTTTACTTAATACTTAAAAACAGAATAGAAAATGTGATTTTCTCTCTTACATTCCTAGATTTATAATTTTGATTTTATTTATATCCATGTGGCATAGACACATAGTTGTATCATACAGGACCTTAGAGAAGAGAGTGATTCTCAGGAAAACCAAAGCACTTCTCAGTTCCTGGTGATTCTGACCTCCAGCATTCTTTTTATAATAATTGCTGAGATCTCTGGCATTTTGGACAGAAATGATGGTATAAGAAAAGCCACAGAGCTCATTAAATCCCTCTGTATTTCCATTTATCAGGCTCTTTGTCAGTGGTTTGTATTGTGACAACTGTTACTTGCTGATATGAGAATCTGAGGCGCATACTTATTTGGAATCTTTGATGCTGATCCTAAAATGGCTGAAATAATCACTTTAGCACAATACAAAACAATAAGCATTTTGCTTTCACAGTCTTCTAAGACCAGTAGAAATGTGTTGTGATTTTTCTACAGTATATTTTTTTAATCTGTGGTTCTAACAACAGGGATGAAAAATGCACAAACTGGGTGACCCAAGAGCTGAAAGAGGTTCTTAAATTCTCTTCTTTCCCTCTTTCTACACTCATATGGTACCCCATATTGCAGTACTTGCTTTAAACAAGAAGAAGAAGGAAGGCTTTAACTATAGACAGTTTGTTAAAAGCTAAATGTACTGTGAGGTGTTATGTCAGAGTAAGCATTCTTTAAATTACCAAACTTTCCTACTGAACATAGTGGATAAGATGCAATCTATGCATTTACACATACCTGTTACAGGACTGAAGCTGCAGAAGGTAGCACCTCCTTAGTCATGAACTCTTCCAAGACCACATGGGGATCATCAAGGTCTAGGCAAAGAAACTTTTCTACAACAGACTTGCATTTTTCCATCCGATCTCCTTTTGAAGGATGATCAAGACATTTGATAGGTTTTCCGTTGCGAATCAGTTCTGATATTTCCACTCCTCTTTCAATAATTTTGGCTGGCATTCCTGCTAATGCTGCAATGTTGGCAGCATGACTAACAGTGGACATGCCCTCTTTGATCTGATAGAAAAATATCAACTCATCTCCATCCTGGTGGGTCTCCATGGTCAGATACTCCAGAAGAGGTGTGTCAGGCAGGAGTTCTAGCTGCATTAAACTGTGAAAATTAGTGGAGACAAAGACCTGTGGACACTGTGTTCCTTGTCTGATCCAGTACCTCAGGACAGCAGCCAGAAGGGACAGGCCATCCAGTGTGTTTGTCCCTTTACCAAACTCATCAATAAGTACCAGGGACCTCTCTGTGGCATTGTTTACGGCCTTTGCAACCTGGTTAAGATCAATCATGAAAGTGGAGAGCCCTACAGAAACCGATTCCCTACTGTGGATTCTTGTGTAAATGCCATCAATTACTCCAATCTCTGCCTCCGCTGCAGGGACATAACTGCCAATTAGAGCCATAAATACTATAAGACCTACTTGCTTTAAGTAAACACTCTTTCCAGATGAGTTGGGCCCTGTGATGATCTTAATTCGTCTGGTAGCCTCACCACTGTTCACAGGATTGGCCACAAAAGTCTTTGCACATAGTTCCATGAGTGGATGTCTTCCATCCTTGATGTGGAAGCCGTGGCGGTGAGTGAAGTGAGGTCGGCAGTAGGCGTTCTCCCGGGCCATCGCTGCCAAAGCTAGGAGCACATCTAGGTGTGCAGTGTACTCAATCACGCTGTTAAGTACTTCAGACTTCTCCAAGATCTTTGTCTGCAGCTGGTGCATGATAAGTGTTTCCTGGTCTCTGATCTCACAGTGCAAGTCACCCAGCAGGCTGTCTAGCTCCTTAGTCCGAGCACTTCTGTAGTGCAGTTTATCGTTTGACAAGAACATGAAGTCCAGGCCTTCAATTTCGAAGTTACTCTTTTCCACCATATCTGGTAGCCGTGGAATGGAGAGAAGGAACCCAATCAAAGGAATGTAGATCACACAACAGGAAGGAATATGATCGTCCAAAGTCTCCAGTTCTTTTCGTGCCACTTCTGTAAGGAAGTCTGACAATCCCATCAGCTTTCGTTTCTTCTCATCGATAGTGGCATCCACATTGGGTCTAACAGTGAAGCGGTTCTCTGAGAGGCTGCCTTCAAAGTCTACCACTTTGCTGATTAGATTAGCAATGTAGTGCAGATCATCAGTGAAGACACGTGAAATAGTCTGAAAAAGTTCAATAGTGTTGGGCAGAGAACGACACGTGTCTCTAAGGCACACTGCATTGTATGCTGTTTTATAGAGTGCTTGCCAGTCACTAACTTTTGTGTTGGAAAGAGTCATTCTTTTTAGAATAAGAGGCACATTTTTAATATTCTTGAGGCAGTTTTGAAGAGTGAGGACTGTTTCATGGTTCTGAGCCATCAGGAAGAAGTTGATAACATCTAGCCGTTTGTTCAGCTCTGTCAAGTTCCGGGTAGGTCGTGTGAGCCACAGCCTCAGAAGTTTTTCTCCCCATTTGCATCTGCAGCGGTTTAAAATTCCATATAAGCTGAATCCTTCTTTTAGTCCACTGGACAGCTTGTACACAGAAGGATGGATATCACTTTTAAATATCTGCAGGACACAGTAAGTGTCTTGGTCCATATTCACAGTATCTGACAGCACAAATTTTTTAAAGGCCAAAATAGGAACTGCTGTACTGCTGTCTTCAAGCTCAACTCCAACCCTTCTCCTGTCTAGAAACTTAAGGAGGCCCCCTAAGGCTCGTATCATGAGTGGGCTTTCAAAAGGGATGATTGAGGACAAGTAGAGAATTTTCTCTGTTGCAGTCATATGAGATGGGATAAATGGAAATTGCCTAGATAGGATCCTTTGCTTGCTGACTTCTAGACCAAAATCTACATTAGGAAACAGGACAATTTCTGGTTTTCCAATGTCTTTATCACCAGCAGTAGCTGTTAGGTTGGTCAGGAATTTGGCAATATTCTGGTCCTGTTTTGCACTGGTCACTATGCATTGAGGATTAAGTTCCCCAGTCACTTTTTGCAGTAGCTTGAGGTCTTCATTATCAGGTATTTCAGGCATGAAGTAGACTGAGCAATCTTCTGTATCATAATAAGTAATTGCCAGCTGGCCTGCATACCACAAAACAGACATGTGTGTCTCAGAGCCCTCTTGGTCCTCTTGTTCGGGCCCAAGCAGTGGTAGCAAGGCATGGCTTGTGGCTGATGTGGCACTCATTCTGTTGGAGAGAGATATTTTTATTTACAACTCATCCAAAAGGTCCTGAGAAGTAACTGTAATTGACAAGAGGAGGTTAATGCTCACTCTTCCAACTCTGGAGAAACTAAGAATCTACCAGGCATTAGCAATAAATGTTCAAGTGGAAAGATGCAGCCACCATCTGAAAAGATACAGCTGCCATCTGCTTCCAAGCAAGGTGTAACAGAGCAAACTACCAGCAATGCTGGATTTACAGTTTTTCTTTGTATCCTTTATTTTTTTAAAGTATGTATGTATGCCCAAATACCCATAAATACAGTCATGTACATGGGCATGTATATATCCATGAACAGAATCATCCTCCCTCAGAGGTACACGAGACACACATGTGCTGACCTCAGCTTCTCACAGCAGTGCAGCCCATAACCTGGCCATCATTTCAGGGTCCCAGCCCGGTATTTATGTAGCACCATCACACAGTACCAGTTTCTATACAAGTACATAAGGGATCAGCCATATTAATCCCCTGTCACCACCCCAATTCCAACCCTCTCTCACCTCTTCCCCCTCTACTCACCCTTCTCACCACAGGCGGGCAGCTCGTCTGGGCTGCTGCCTCTCCTTGCATCCCAGAAGTGTTCTCCTGACCCCCTTCCCCTGTCTCTCCCCGCGCTCAGGCTCCCCCTGCCGCCGGGCCCCGTCAGGATGGCCGGACCCGCCCCCGCAGCCGGGCCGCGGCCCCCCATCCCGTCGCCCTGCCATCCCGCCGCCGCCCCGCCGCACACGGCGGGCCTGTCCCGGCAGAGCCCTCCGGGCCCGCGGGAACAGACCTTCAGTTGCACGCGGCCTCCCGGCTGGATGGAAGCACCCCAGCGGCGTGCTGGGTGTGCGGTCTGGTACATGGGACCCGAGGCTGCTTGCGTCTGTGTTAAGGTCCATCACCACTTGAGCCTTCCTGCCCCTGGTCCCACACCTGGTTCCAGCCCCTGGTTCAGACTGCCTGTTGGGAGCAGCCACGGGGACTGGGGTTTCACTGCAGGCTGGGGACAGCAGGCTGCACCCTCGCTGTGTGCACACAGGGGAGGCATACGCAGAGTTAACAGACATGACAGGGCTACCAAAGGCTGTGTTGCTGGTGCGCTGCCAGGCCTGCAGGAGGTCCTCATGCCGTGCCTCTCCAGGCCCACATTACACAGCCATGTCCCTTTACAGGCATCATCCATCCATTACAGTTCTTCCTTTAAGAGGCAGGTGTCTTCCTCCTACCCTCCCAACACCAAATGCTTCAAAATGGCCTCTCAAGTACTCTTGTTTCTCACCCCCCTCATTATGGTTTATCTCTATAATCAGCATCTATACTATTCCCATGTGGTAACAACTTTTCTCTTTCATCTCTACTGCTCCAGACCCTTTCAGTTAAGAAATGAGCCATGCCCTTCCCATGCACCTGCTTTGTTTCATCCTTTCACATCACACAGGCAGCACTCTAGCAATTGCTCCAGTTACTAAAAATATCATAGTTTTACCACGGCTGGTTTTCCAAATACCTTTGAGTAGTGCATCACAAGCACAACTCAATTCCTGAGCATGCAGCATTTGATTCATACCTTACCAATCTGCCTTTGACAAGCAACATCCCTGCCTCTTTTAAATGTTATTT